TCAAATTGACGCCATCAGTGCACCGAGGTGCTTGTAGCCCGCCATGCACCAAGCATTAGCTTCTTCCTGGATGGAGACCTCAAGACGCGTTGCCGAGGTTGACACTCCATTGAAGGTTCTCGCATTGCGTTCTTTCCAAATGGACCAACCGATGAGGAAGAAGAGGAGTCAAACCCACGACGGAGTTGTTTTGGTAGTGCCTTCCTGCATCGCGGCCACCATGGGATAGCCGGTTCTTCTTGAACAACGACGGTGTACTGCAGGTGTAGCTTCCTGAACCAGGCTTCCCAGACCTCGCGACTGAAGGGGCATCCAAGAAGGATGTGGTTCATCGTTTTGGCACCCTGGTCGCAGAAGATGCATGCATTCGAATCTTGTAGACCATGGCGGAACCGTCTATCCGCCGTTCAGCATATGTCGTGCATGACCAGCCAAAAGAAGAATTTAACCTTCGGTGGCGCCGATGTTTTCCATATGTGCTTAGCTCCAAGAGGCGATGATGATCCGATAAACATAGCACCATATGCAGATGCTGCAGAGTAGCACTGATCGGCGATGAACCTCTAGGCTAAGGTGTCCGGCTGCGCCGATAACTGCACCCCCTCCAATAGGTCGTACAGGCGGTCGAACTAGAGCAGGACCTGCATGGTTAGCGGCCCGATGATGTGTCGGATCCATGCGTTGTTGTGTAGGGCCTTGGCAACAGTGGCCTTCCGCTTTCTCGCTTTCACCATGGCGAAAACAGCGGGAGCAACATCCTTAATGATGCGGCCGTCAAGCCATCTGTCTGTCTAGAAGAATGTGGACTCTCCATTCCCAAGCATGAATACAGTGGCCGCCTGGAACACGACAATAACTGTCCATTCCTTCGAAGCCAGGGCGGGTCGACGCTCCACTCGCGCCTGCCACTCCCAGCGTACTCGTAGGGAGATCCCGGCATGTCGCAGGTCAGAGATGCCAAGGCCACAGAGGTCCCTGGGGCGACACACAGTCTCCCAAGCCACCTTGCACTTTCCTCCAAAGACTTTGTCTAAGCCACACCAGATGAAGGCGCGACGCAGCTTGTCAATCGACTCGATCGCCCAAGGCGACGAGCAGAGGACAATGGACATATGCGTCGGGATGGCAGACATAGTTGCTTTCACCAGAGCCATTCGTCCAGCAACATTGAGCATATTGCCCTTCCATTTTGGTATTCTTGCAGCGACTTTATCGATGAGAGGCTACTCGTCCGATCTCTTCAGTCTCCGGACTGAAAGCGGCACCCCCAGATAGCAACACAGGAGGTCCTCGATTCGGCAGGAGAGGATATCCCTAACTCTGCCAATGTCATTCTCTAAGCAGGGGAGCAGGGACGCTACACTCTTGTCGAGGTTGGAGAACAGGCCTGACGCTAAACCAAAAATGGTGAGCACTGCCTTGATGACCTATAGGTCCTTCACATTAGGAACCATGAACAAAACTAGGTCATCAGCGTACAGACTCGTCCTATTGTCAACACTGTCATGCAGAGGTGTTAGAAGCTACTGCTGCTCTACCCATTTTAGGAAACGGTTAAGGACCTCCATGGTGAGCACAAATAACATAGGTGAGAGTGGGTCTCCTTGGCGAAGGCCGCGAGCATGGCAGATTCGCCTCCCCAGGCGACCGTTGAGTAGAATCTTCATGCTTGCAGTGGCCAAGATTATTGAAATCCAATCTCTCCATCGCTGGCCAAAACCCATGTGTTGGAGGACTTCTAGGAGGAACGGCCATGAAACCGTGTCGAAAGCCTTTGCTATATCAATCTTGAGCAAGATGGTCGGTGACTTCTTTTCATGGATGGCTTTGCAAGCGATATGCACATTCCTAAAGTTATCATGGATGTGGCATCCTTTGATGAAAGCGCTCTGGTTGCGTAGGACGAGAGCATCTAGAAGACCTGCTAGCCTATTGGCGAAGCACTTGGTGATGAGCTTGCTAAAACTATGTATGACGTTGATAGGGCGATAGTCACGGATCTCTGCCTGATATTCCTTTTTTTAGTAGTATCATGTAAGCATCATTGAGGTGATTGAAGCTACGATAGTCCAGCGACCAAAAGCATTGAAGGCGTTCATGACATCCATCTTGATTGTCCCCCAGGCCTTCTTGTAGAATAGGCTAGTGAAACTGTCCGGTCCCGGAGCCTTGTCATTCGGCAGATTAGCAATGACTGACCGAACTTCCTCCTCGGTGAACAGGTGCTTGAGCTCTAGCCTTGCTATTTGCGGCACCCCAAGGTCCACAGATCGAATCTTCTTGAATGCTCAAAGTTTGCTCCAAGGACGCTGATGTAATAATCATAGAGAGCATCAGCCATCGCTGTGTCACTGACAACATCCGTCCCCTAAACGCGCAACGCATCAATCCGGTTCTTTTGGTTCCGGTGACAGGCTTGTAAGTGATAAAACTTTGTGCTAGCATCTCCTTCTGCCAAGAAGAGCAGACGCGAACGTTGCCTTGCAATCGTGCGCGCCACGGATGCTAGGCCCAGGACCTGTAGTTTGAGGCCTTTTCAAAGCTCAGCCTCCTAGGGTAATAGAGTTCTGGACTCCTGCTCCTCATCAAACCTCTGAATTACTTCACGGGCCATGGGAAGCTGTAGGCGCACACTGCTTATCTTGGTGTTGCTCCACCGACGTAGTGCTTTGGCAACATTCTGGAGCTTGTGGTCTAGCACGCGAAAGGGGTCCGCGTTTGTCACACTTGGTTCCCATGCCGCGGCAACAACATCGTCGAAGCCAGGCAATTTTGTCCAGAAGGACTCAAACCAGAACCTACGCTTTAGATCGGGGTTGACCTTAAGCTGTAGTAGCAACGGACAGTGGTCTGAGCAGTCCGAGGATAAAGTCTTGAGCATGTGGTTCGGGAAGGCCGCAAACCAATCCATCGATGCAAACATGCGGTCAAGCAGTTCTAGTGTTGGTCTTTCCCTTTCGATGGACCACGTGAACCTTCTACCGACCAAGTTTAACTCTTCAAGGTTCACCCTGCTGAGGAACGCATGGAAGCGTCTCATGCAGCGGTGATCTAGCCTGCCGTTGTTCTTGTCTTATGCGCGGTAGATCATGTTGAAGTCCTCCAAAGGAACCAGGGCCCCGGGTGAGAGTCCCAAAAGTGCAACAGCTCGTTGAGGAACTCCACCTTCTCATGATCAAGCTACGACCCGTAAACGACAGTGATCCACCATTGATCTGTCGATGCGCCTGGCGCAGACAGCTTCGCCAAAATGGTGTACCGGTCCTTGTGGACATCAGACGCCGTCCAGCAGTCGTTGTTCCAACCGAGGAGGATACCGCCGGACACATTCATTGTTGGGAGGAAGTCATAAGAGAACATGGTTCCTAGGATTTCATTAGCCAATGCATTACAAATGATGGAGAGCTTGGTCTCTAGAATACACACAAGAGTTGGCCTTTCTTGGACCAGGAACTCTCGGACGACGTTTCGGCATGCGCGGCCGTTGAGCCCCCGCACATTCCAAATGAAGCAGCAAGCTAACGACGACATATGGGTAGAGTTTAGCGATGGTTGGTAAAGAGACCGCTGGAGACTAAGCCTCAACAACGTCTAGACCATCCATGTTGAGCTCCATGGCTACTGGGTTGAAGTCATCGGAGAAGAGTAACTGAAATGCTTGCTGCTTGCCAATGGACATGGGCCCTCGGAACGTTTCTTTGAACTTGCGCTAGATCTCCGAGTCGCTTGCATCTTCGTCGACTTGCAATCCAAGTTTTTTCAGGAGCGCAGATTGCGCCTACTTGGTGGAGTTCGCCACCCAGGGTTTGGCTGCTAGCCTACCGCTGCGTCTGATGGAGTGGATTGACACCGATGTCCTAGAGCGACACAGCCTAGGCCCCCCATGGAGGACCAGTGTTTTAGCCACTGGCAGACCCTGGCCTCTAATTCTTCCTGCACCGCAGCAACGTTCGCAATATCACCCTCGTTGTTAGCCATGGAGTTGTCTTCGTTGCCACTTTCATCTAAAGTAGGTGGATTGGAAAACGTCAGGAACTCGAGTTCCATGACATCAAAGCCTAAAGCCTCTTGCGCAGCAGGTAAGGCCTGAAGGCACATGGTGATGGTAGGGAGTGGCCTGCTCCCCTAAACACCTGGGCTAGTGTCGAAATGGGCTCCCACAAAGCCAGATGGCCCAAAAGACTGAGTCGTGCGAGCTGGAGCCAACTCAGGCGACTATAGGCCCATAGCCCCGATGGGCGTAGACGGATGTCCCCCAGCATAGCTTCAAGCTACATCAGATTCGAATCAAATCTTGGGGCAGGTGAGATGTGGCCGTCGCTGGCGAGGAAGTCAACTTCGCATGCCTGTCGCGGTGGCGTGCCTGGTGTAGCCTGCACCCCTATGTCAGGCACAGGAGTAGACAGAGGGGCGGGCGGTGCCTCGAAGTTGCGGCTGCGACAATTGGACGTCTGGCATCTCGTGCCCCAGGGGGCCCTGCCGAATCGGCGTGAGCCACGCCACGACCATGCCTTGCCATCCAACGAGCATCGGCCCTCGCGTACCAGTTGGTACGTATGTGGGGCCCACCAGATAATTGTCTTCTCCGGCACGTCACGACGTGCATGAGCCCTATAGCCAGGGACGTCGATCGACAATGACTGGGACATCCTTCGCTGTCTCGGGCGGAAGGACGGCCCATAGCCATGCACCAGCGATGGACCACCAAAGCCACCTAGCCTGAAGGTGGCCGGACCAAACGAGCGTGACCTCGACGGCCCGTCGATGCCCAGATGGAAGCCGTTGTAGTTGCTGTCCCCGCTATCATCTGAGTCCTATGCGCTGAGGAAGCCATCGTCATCCAACGAGCTCGATGACGCTTCCCAGTCTTGGTACTCAATCACACTCATCCGAGCAAGGTAGTGAAGTATCGGAAGGTGGGAGCGAATGATCTCATGCTCCCTAAGGAACAAGATGCCCGGGTCATGTGGTTCCGGTGGCTCTGGGATGACGAGGAGCTTCTACTCGGGAACCAAGAGCGGGTGAAGACACCACGCCGCGATGAAGAGCCCCTGGTAGTCGTCATCATCAACACCATCAGCCTCAGTAGAAGCTAGCTCAACCTGGGCGCAGGACGATCCAAGGAGCTGTTGTGCGATGGACTCACTTAGGGCGTGGGCGGGGACACCCTTGATGCCGACGAGCACCCTAAAAGTGAAGGAGGCGGTGACCGCACGAGAGAGGCGCGTCCAGCGGTGCCAGGTAAGCATGAATGGTGCCAAGCCATCTGACGTAGCGGCCAACACCCGCTCGAGGTCCACCCTGTGACTAAAGCGGACTATGAAGTCCTCAGGGGCATGACGCATGACCGGCATGGCTGCATCGTTAACCCCAAAGCCGACCCATAGGTGCTCACGAACCATTGCTGGCATGACCGACGGTCTGGTGCCACCGACAAGGGTGACCAATGCCAGTGACAAGGTAGTTTCTGTCGCATTGATCTCATCAGAATGCGGAACGACCACCACCTCGATAGAAGGGCGATCAATCTCGGTGAGGCGCCGGTGGTGCTCCCTATGGATCTATAGGGGGGCGCCGCAATGGCCCTCCATCCACCTACACCTCAAGCGCCTGCTCCTGTAGCACCTCACGTGCAGTAGCATTGCGGGCGCCAACCTCCAACGCGTGGCCCTCCCCGACAGCTGTGGAAGTATTAGCTGGGTGCGCGTCAACCTCCAGAGGTGGCAGGTTAGTGGCGGCAACGACCGCTGCCCGCCGGTCAGTGGCATTGGGACTAGGCACGCGCACAACAGCAAGGAACGGAGGGCAACCTGTTGGTAGAGATTAAGCGCGTGGAGACCGTGTCATCCCGCACCACCTGCCAGTGCACCAGAGAAGCATGACGGCAGGCCACCCCGCAACGACCCTGGACACCGGCCGACGAGCGCCCCCTCTTAGTGCCTGCCACTGCGATGGAGCGTTGAGGGTAGTTGCGTGCCGATGGCCCTCACGGCGACAGGAACGGCAACGCGATGGGAAGTGGCAATCTGCCTTGATGTGGTCGTCGCCCAAGCAGTTGAAGCAAAGACTGATAAGGTCCGCCGGCACCGGCCTCGGCTGTATGGTGGAAGGCCGACGGCGCCAACAACGCTGGCTATGGACCTCGTGGAACCCATCGGGGTCTAGGTCTGCCGATAGCCTGGTCGGGTGCACGACGAGGAAACGTAGCCTGGGTGGGGACATAGGTACGTCGTGCCGGTGGGCGCGACGCGCATCAGGCATGAAACCCCCGGGGCGCGCGGCCTGCGAGTGTGACGACCACAATGGGGCCTCCTACGACGAACACCAGTGGCAGCGGGCCCCTTGCCCCGCTTCGCGGCAGCCATGCTTGGCACCTTGGAGCCAAAGGAAGCCTCCTGGTCGGTGAATGACAGCTTCTCACCCCAGCCAAACCCCGAGCCAGCCGGGGAGAAGGGCTCCGCATTAGGGTTGAGGTTGGTGGATGGGGAACAGATTAGTTCGTCGGCGTCCTCGACCTCATCTGCCTAGGTTTGGTGGGAGCTGGAACCACGCTCCATGAGGACATGGGGGTTGGGGGTGGAGAGAGGGAGGGCTAGGGAGGGGTTGCTTGGGTGGCCGACGGTGCCGTTTGGCGATCGGCGGTGAGGCTGGTGGCCGGCGACGGCCTGGGTGGCCGTCGGTGGGGGAAGGGCGAGGGGGCCTGGGTGCCTCACTCACATGTGACGAGGGACGACTACCGTTTTCTCATGAGCTGGAAGCCCAGTAGTTGCATTTTCAAATTATGCATACAGTAAAATGTACTCCAAATATAAATCATTTTAACATTCTCATTTTTTACAATTTTAGGGCTTAATTTTATGCATCTTTTATCATTTTCTTCATTCTTGTCCCACTTAATAAATGCTACTCCCACCATTCAAAATTATAAGACGTTTTGGCTTCTTTTGATACATTGCTTTTGATATGCACTTAGATATACACTATGTCTAGATACATATCAAAAGCTAAAATAATTTAAAATGGAGGGAGTAGTAACTATAATTTATACGGTAATGCTCTCCTCAAGGTGTCCTTCGCTCCGGATGTGGCTTCCTGGGCCTACGGAGCCCAATATGCCTGCTCCCCTCTCTCTAGCTCCTATTCTGGTGGACCTCACAAATAAACATGAGAGAACGTGAAACTGCTCGACTGGATCTAGATTCGGCGCTAGCCCCTCTTCTCTCGTCGTGCCACTCTCTCTCCCTCTTTGGTTGCTGCACACGTGCGTACAAGGCTTGCCGAGCCCGAAGCTCCCCAGCTGTCGTTGCTCCCTTCCTTCTGGCCCTCTCGCCTGCAATTTTGGCTCCACCAACGCCATCTCAGGCTTGTAGTTCCCCCTGTGCATGCTCGTCGAGAAAATCTCGCGCCGCCCCCTTTTTCCTACTCGTCATGGCTACAGGACAGGAACCGTGGTGAGCTGTCCCTGGTGGCCCTCCACCTAGCCATCCATGCTACCTCCGCGTCAGCCTCGCCTCCCTCCATATCTTGCACGTGTTCGCCGGGGTGGATATCCGTCGGCACATCGCCGCCGCTAGTGCCGCCTCTGGCATGCTGCTGGCATGCGCGACCAGCCATACACTGAGCCTTCATTCGTCCAAGCAGCAAATAGATATTGTGCTTGGAAGCAAATGTTGCAAGCGTATATTTTGAGTGTTTCAGGTGTTTCAGAGGTATATTGCAAGTGTTTCATATGAATGTTGTAAAAATAGATCGGGATGTTTCATATGTTGCAGTGGATGTACACGTATGTAGCAAACGTCTGTTCCAAATATTTCATCTATTTTCAAACGTATGTTGCAAGTGTGTTTATCTAGATGTTGCATATGTTTCACATAATGTTTTATCTGGACGTTGCATATGTTTTTAATGGCTTTTCAAGTGTTTTTACAAGTGTTTCAAACGCATGTTTCGGGTATTTCATTTGTCTTCAGACATACGTTGAAAATATTTCATCTGAATGTTTCAAAAATAAATCGGGTGTTACTACTAGGACCCACCTACCACAGTAGGTGTCTGGGCAGGGGAAGTAGAGGGGGCGCAGGCAGTCTCCGTGTGGGTTAGGAGGCGCGGGCGACGTTCGGACGGACATGGGCCCCCACGTGGGAGCACGAAAGGGAAAGGGAGTGTCTGAACGCGCACGTCTGTCTGAATGTCCGGGCGCTAGCACTTTATGCAATTTGTAAAGATATAAGCCTGCTCCAGCTCTAGTTATTGCATCTTATATAAAGCCCGTATTGATCCGCTCCATTAATTCGCCGTGACATGTAGCGCAGCAGGCTCCCAAACGGACCTCAATATATATAGAGAGAAAGAAACAGCGACTAGTCTGTTCGGCAGGCCGTAAACGATCGTGGATTATTTACTGTTGGCTGGTTTGGTGTGAGAGAAAAATATTATTCCAACTTATAATCCACGATCGTATACGAACAAGTGAAGAGGCTAGATAGACACACAAGGAACCATAAGAGCAAGCGCAGCGCAGGCATCTACACTCGTTAGCCTCACTAAAAAGCTAGCCTACACGTAGGAGCATAGTGACTAAGGCCTGGTTTAGTTCCAAAAAATTTTCACCCTAAACTATCACATCAAATCTTACTGCATATGTATGGAGTATTTAATATAGACGAAAAAACTAATTGCACAGTTTGGTTGAAAATCACGAGACGAATATTTTAAGACTAATTAGTCCATGATTAGCCATAAGTGCTACAGTACTAACATGCACTAATGATTGATTAATTAGGCTTAATAAATTCGTCTCGTAGTTTCCAGACGAGCTATGTAATTAGTTTTTTTATTAGTATCCGAAAACCCCTTCCGACATCCCTAAAACATCCAATATGATATCCAAAATTTTTCATTTCGCGAACTAAACACAGCCTAAAGCCACCGCCTCCCAATCACATACCATCGCAGGCTATACTGACAGTCTGACACAGTTCTCTCTCTCAGGCAATACTGACAGTTGGACACAACTCTCTCTCTATACATAACCTTTTTCGGCTTTATCATGCTATCTCCAACAAAAACACTCAAAATAAAGATTTATTTGTTCTTTGGGTAGCGCTACAGGCAAAAGATTCAATACATATTTGGCATCTTCTCCAACAACAAGACTCAAAAGAGAATCCTTTCTGTAAATGGGTTTTTAGAGAGATGATACTTATATTTAGGTTGTGCCTCTCAGGCAATCCAAAATAGATCTCCTGTATAAGTACTTTGTTGGAGGCTGATTTTAGATCTCTCGCTAACTATTTTGAGTTTGATGTCCATATGTGTTTTTTATTGGAGACCGTCTTAGACGAAAAGCAAACGTTGGGAGCACCTCTCTTCCTCCCATCGCGTTCTCTGGTTGTGGCTTCTGAGTTTTGCCAGACGAGACATATGTGTCTTGTGCAGGATGAGCAGCGAGGCCACCATCTTCTTCCCATTTCTCATCCGACCTGACCAAACCAACATCCACCGTGGAACGTTGGGTGGCCTAATAGCCAATCTGGCAATTCGTCGTCGTCGACATTTATCATTTATGTGGCGAGTGGTGAGTGGCGACGCCGACAATAAAGTTCAGTCATCCTCCGCAGCGGAGACGTCAGTTCGTCATTATGTATGACGGGTGACGAAACCGGCCGGCCGGCCAGACGGCCAGTCCAATCGATCGTTCACACTTTAACTTGAGCACACGTGAGAACACATGGCATAGTGCAGGCGCGTACGTGCGTGCGGCGGCCGCGCGGAGAGGCCGAGCCCACCACAGCCCAGCATGCCTGCAGCGCGCGGCTGCCGACATGGTCGGTCGCTCGTGCCGTCCTTCGCGCGGACCTCCGGCGGCCGTGAACGCGCCGCCGCCGACGTGGCGAGCTGCACGGCGCGGCGCGGCACGGCGGCAGGCACTCTCGACGCAAATGCAATGCGAGAGGTACATTTTTTTTTTAGCACAATGCGAGAGGTACATGGTACGGTCGAGGAAGGCATGGGCCGGGCACTCCTCGCTCGAGGTAAACACGGCCCATGAGGCCGCGAACCAGAGTCCAGAGGGGCAGGGGTTTGGCTCATTCGAACCATATATATCAGCCAGCCATCAGCCTGTGTCGGTGTACGTACTCCGGTCGGCTGACGGCTATGCATGCACACGGAGCTTTTCCACGGCCGGTACGTATTACGTAATAACAAAACAACCGACCGGCCGGCCGGTGCAGAGGCGACGGCGACGGCGACGGCGACGGCGACGGCGACGGCGACGCGTACACAGCGAAGGTCGGCATGCAGGCACACACGCTGACTCTGATAGTCTGATCCATCCATCCAGGCGTACGTATGTATTATTGACTGACTTATATTGATTGTTTGTCTCAAGTTTATGGGTCATTGTCTGATCCGATCCCCTGTCCTCCTGCAAACAAACTCACACCGATCGAACCAGGTCAACCATGCATATCGTCTTCCGGTCCCCATGCTGTTCTCCCACGATGTTCAGTGCACTTGGTTGGAGCGGCAGGACGCCGCGGCCTGATCGATCAGATCAGAGTCGTCTCGCTGGACATTGGACGTGGACCGACGGGATCGCAAGTACATACATGCATTAAGCATTATATATTTCATCTTTCTTCTCCACGACCATGATTCAGTGATCCTTGGTTCCTTTGCTCGCTCCGTCGACCATGACAAAGCCTATGATGGATATGGCGATGGAGCTCTGCCCCCAACGAACCCCTCTATCGTTCTCTGCACCTCTCTACATAGCAGTGGCAGGCTGGCAGCAGAGGCCGCAGCGGCGGAACCAACCATTTTGATTAAAAAGGGCTGAACAAATATGTCTGTACCTCTAAGTGTGATAAATATAAACGTAAGTTATGTTTCAATAACTTTTTCAATGTTTTTACGTACGCGGTTATTATTTATAACAAAAAAACACAATATTATGATATAAAAAAAACTCCATCTGTCCTCAAATATATCAATTCCTAGAATTCGTGCCAGTTTAACTTTTTTTAAATTTGACCAACTTTATAGAAAAGAATAACAACATTTATAATATAAAATTAGCACTTATGAAAATATATTCTATGCTGAATCTAGTGATACTAATTTGATACCATAAATCTTAATGGTTTATTCTAGAATTTCGGTCAAAGTTTAAAAAGTTTGACTTAAGACAACTCCAGGAATCTATTTATTCAGGGACATAGGGAGTAGATGAATTAATGACATTGTGTTGTAAATTAAAATATATATAAGGATATTAAATAATTCCATTGTATTGGGGGAGGGGCACAGGCCCCCTTGTTTGGCCAATGGTAGGCCGGTACGTCGATAAGTAGTTATAACCATCGATGGCCAAACCACCTCTTATGTGCCAACTACCAGTTCGTTGAGTACCGAGCAAGGCTCGGTTGGCTAGCTGCGCCGGCGTGCGAGCAGCCCACCGAGTTCGATCCCGTTGTCTGGGATTTTCTCAGGATTTCTGCCTCTCGCGCGTGATGCCACAATGGGATCGTGACGTGCCCGTCGCCTATGAAATCAGTGGATTTTAGTGATCTCAAGAAAGACGCGGTCTTCAGATCTGGGTGTAGTTATAGGTTTGTTTGTACACGAATGGTGTGAGTAGTGTGCGTGTGTTGAGTAAGCGTGCGTGTGTACGAACAGATGCTACAGCTGTACCTAGATGAGAGACAAAAAAAACTACCAATTCGTCATTTTTTTGAATTCCATTAAACATGTCTTCCAACCAAATACCATAAATACTACGTAGTGCTGCTCCCATGGCGTCCGACCACCGGACGCGTGCTTGCTGGGCCTATGGACAGGCCTAGGCAACCGACCACTCATGTCTCTACTGCCCTTTTAACTAAAAAAATGGAATCGCTATTTCCTCATCCAACCATCGCAGCTGGCTCCACCACCGCATCTTGGCCACGTGGATGCTCCACCGACACATCCTGCCCACGTGGCAACTCCACCTCTGAATCCTGCCTGCATTGCCACCTCCACCGCCACATCTTGCTCACATGGCCGCTCCACAGGCGCATCCTGCCCATGCGGCCAAGTCCACCGGCATCCGGCCGCCATGGCTGCTCCATCGCGCTGCCCGCCTTCTCCACTCCGCCTCCACCGCACGGTCCGCCTACACTGCGGCTGCTCCATCGCACGACCCGCCTTCCCTAACCCTAGCGGCCGGTTGCCTGCCAGGTTTCGCCCGTTTCCGGTGGCAGCTCACGCCAGTAGCTACCACCTTCGCCTCTCCCTCTCCACAGCTGTCGCACTGCGTGTTCCTTCCACGATGGTTTCCATCAGAGCGGCAACACCATCGGCGAACTCTAC